AAATCCTTTTCTACGGTTGCAATTTATACATCAATGATCCTAGGGAATTCCGAATTTATAATAAAAAATGAGAAATAATTCGAAAAAAACGAGCTGTCAACTCATCGCATAATATGTGTTTTATAGCAAACATTTTGTATGAATAAGAAAGCACTTTCCCTGGGATTGACGTACACGAAAAAAAGCACTGTTACCTTTTAAATCTGGATTAGAAGTCTAATATAAAGTATTACTTGGATTACGATTCGTACGTATGTGTGGGTGCGTTGTGTATACGTGCATATATGTATAGTGTGGATATGTGTTGTGTTAATCTGTCGGAGTTCGATCGTCCCCGTCTGGCATCTCCTTGAGAGCTTGATTAAAGTCTTAGTTATAAGTGAACAAAATGTGAGTACATTGTTTTTCATTTTTTCACGCATTAATTCGAATATGATATGTCATAATTCTGTTCTGATAAAGATATTTTATAAGATCGGGATTATAGATTTGTCTTTAGGTATGTACTATTATTAAATTTTGATACCGAAACTATGTACAATCGAATTTGGTCAAAATAATACATTGTAAAGCGCAGTATCAACAATTCTTTCCATTTCGTGGCTTCCAGCGTTTTGATATATAGTCAAGAATTGTATCTCTCTGATATATAAACCACGTTCCTTCTTTATTCTATAATTTTTTTCGAAGTGATATTATAAAAAAAACTTGTTACTTTTTTTAAAAATAAATAATAAATGTGCTTAATAGGAAATGTTGTGCTCATGAAAGCTATATCTATAAATATGTATAGAACATATAGATAATGAAAAATGTAAATAATTACCATGTCTGACGAGATTTCTAAGATTTTTATTAAGCATTTTGCATTTGTTATGCAATTTACTTGAAGAAAACTCTTGTCACATTTACGTCGTAAATGACTGCACATTTATCGCGTACTATGTTATTATAGTACTCCACGTTTAATATCTATACTACGGTACCTTTAGTGGAATGTAATACGGGTGTAATGTGTTACCAAAAGAACAGTGAACGAGTAATTGTGGAGAGCGTGTTGTTACAAGTTTTTGCATCCACTTTCACCGTGCACTTCAAGTTCTCATTGATTAGAAATTGTCTAACTGCATAATAAATTACTTTCATCTTAAAAGTGTATCCATTGTACACGTTTTTTTAACCAAATAATTAATTGTGCGAATAAAAATGCGATTGCTATCGAAGCTTTCATCTGAATCACTTTTAATAAAAAAAAATAATAATTGTAAATTTTACAAATGCATTTGAAAAAAGTGTATAAATATTACACTTTTTAATTATTATTTTTAAATTTATTTATAATAAGATGTCTTTTTGTTGTAAACTAGATAGTTTATATTTCTGTTTCTTTATTCCCTTTTTTAAGAAAGTTTTTTTTCGTTACTTGTATTAAGTTTTATATTGTTTTGTCCAAATTTTGATGTTGTTTTTTTCTAAATGTATAGTATCTCTATTTAATTAAAGTACGTACGTTTTTATTTTTTTATTGCACCTTTAAATTTAATGTTTTCAATTTTTATTTTATATTTTTATTTTGTTAAGGAAATTATATTTATTTAAAATTAAAAAATAGAACTGTTATTATATGTTGTATAATTTTAACATTATGCATAACGTAATAAAATCATTAATTTTTAAGAAATTGATCATAGTAACATTCTGTTCGTACAATTATTCGTACAAGGATTAACATAATAAAAGGGGAGAAAGATCGCAGTTATATATTTCCGAGAAGTATTATGTAATATTACAATGGAATAGTGCACTATATTCATTTTATATTTCCTTTTAACTAGATTTTGTATCATGTTTTATTCATCATACATATAATGTATTGCTTAACAATCCTAAAAATATAACATCGAAATGTATAACGCGATCATAATATATAATTCGCTTTTACGCACAATAAACAATAAACTCATTGTTAGTCAAATTTGTGTTAGCTGATAGTGCGTTATTCCTTTTAACCGCGATTGTTGATATCGTACTCATTTTTCGCACGGAAATTCTCATCTTGCCTCGAAGAAACGACGAATGCTAAAATTCCGCTCGTAAGCGCTGCGATGCGGCAAAAGAAAATGGTAAATGTACACGCGATCTGGCAAACTCATTTCGATTGTCTATCGTATAACTAAATAAAAGTCTAGTATACTCGTCTAAAGCAAATGTTAATTATTTTATATATAGCACGCTGCTCCTCGCGACATGCATCAAACACTTTGGTTTGTTAATTACAAGTGAGATCGCATCATAAATGGAACAGATACAAATTATGCTCGTATATATTGCATGGTCAATAATACAGCAATATGCAAAACATAGATCATAAACATTGATATTATTTTGATGACAATTTATATTCCTTAATTCTTCAATGTTAAAGTCTTTAATCTACTTTATAATGAAACAATTATGCCATAATAATTATATCTTGATATATTTTATTACTTCAAAAAACTTTATATCATTTTTTTAATAAATTTTTAAAATAAAGCGTAATTAATATTATTAATATTATTAATAAGTTTATTGAGGTACTTATAATATATAGAATATATGTATGTATACATAGAATTATGGAATATAAAAAATTTGTACCAATATAAAATAAATGTAGAAATAAAGCTATAAGTTTTATAGAGCTATTATAAAGTTATAGATATTGTATATTGAATTTTCTGTGAAAAATTTTAAAATAAAAAGTTACCAACATTGTTTAAATTTAATAAATAGAAATTAAATAATAAATAAAAATTAAACATGCTAATTTTTTAAAAAATTAAATAATTTTTGCGGGTGAGAATGTAGCAAATTGATTACAAATTATGATTTATCATACACGCCTTTCGAAATAATATGAATAATTTCATTGTTAGAAGTATAATTGTGTAATAAATATGCGATAGCGAACGCCATAAATTAAACAAACGTATCAATATTGCTATAAACGGTTCATTTCAGCAATTCACAATGATAACCGAATATATCGAAGAGAAATACAATAAAGATCGAAAGTTAACGGAACCAGAAACAAAAATTGGCAAAAAATCGATTCTTGATCAACCACCAAAAGAGCATATACCGGTGGTACAACCATTAATTTGGCGAAATGTCATTGCTATCCCTATTCTCCATATCATTACGGTCTATTTATTTATCACGCGGTATCACGAGGCGAAACTTTACACCTGGATATTTGGTACGTATTGATTAAATTAAAATTAGTTTTTCATATAATTTTATCTACCGTCTCTCATAATATACAATAAAGTTTTATAGTAGAAAGTATGCCAGAATTGATAGAGAAATAGATACATGTCAGTTCTTTTGCAATACTTGAAATCAATTTTGTCAAATGCTTTCAAATTTTAACAAATAAGCTTCAAATTAACATAAATTCCACGCTCGTTTTTCTTTACCTATACAAATACAAAAATTTAATAAAGAAGAACACTATTTCCTCAATTTCCACATTTTTAATTTTATTTACGAAGATTTCGTATTTTTTAATTTTATTTATAAATTCAAAACATACTATTCTTATATTTTTTAGAAATTTCTTATAAAGATTATCTTACATTATAAAAAGCTATTTAATATGTAATTTTTCATTAGTGTTCATTAACATTTCGTAGTTAGCCAATTGAAATTTTATATCGTATATTTTACTTAAAATGATAACAATAAAAATTTTAAATTGCTTTTTTATTTTGTTTCCCATATTCAGTAATCGTATTTGGATTGACTGCTGGTTTGGGTATAACGTCAGGCATGCATCGTCTTTGGGCACATAGAAGTTTTAATGCTAAACTGCCACTCAAAATTATATTTGCTTGTCTCTATTGCACAACTGGACAGGTAATGTAAAATCATGAAAGACTTACGATATTAGGTCTGTTTATTTTAGCTGAATTGGCTGCACTAGTTCAAAGTTTATCTTTTTTGCTTCACATTGGAAGAAAAGAGATAAACTTTGAATTAGTGTAGCCAGTTTAGATGAAACAAACAGACTTATAATTATCCAATTAATGAAGTAATTTTACTAAAATTTAAAATTGCGTCAAATTTTAGTTAGTATGCAAAATGTACAATATTTATAAATTTAATATATATATAGTCTTGCAAACTTTTCACATTTCTCGCTTGTGATGTTTGTTACCTACTCTAATCACAAGCGATTATTCACTAGCACGTCAGTTACAATATTTACAGCGAGACAATGATTAATATTAATTGAATGTAGTAGTAACATTTTTACGTATACGTTGTTTATATATTTTTATTTAGTATATTACAATTTTGCATAATCTAAATTTTTCTTGTTAATTAAATTATTAAATTATTTATTTATTGCATACATTTTTTGATTCAAAAATATTTTTACTATTGTAATATTTAATATAACATAACATTGACGTAATACTAAATAAACCTAGGATAAATATTGCAGAATATATAATTGATTGATAAAAATTTGCAAGATTGTTTAATGTAATTTGTCTGATTTTGAAGTATGATTTTCTAGAATTTGTTATTATGTAGATTCATATGTTTAAATGGATTCGCACTCACCGAACGCATCATAGATACACGGATACATGCGCGGATCCGCATAACGCTAATCGCGGCTTCTTTTTCTCGCATGTTGGCTGGTTAATGATGAAGCACCATCCGGCGGTGAAAGATATGGAAAAAATGTAGATATGAGCGATATCGCTGCCGATCCTGTCATACGTTTCTTTGATAAGTGAGTTTAACATTATTTAAATAATGACGACGTTTCCCCAAATCGCAGAAATATGATATCTCTAAATATGTACATACATATCATTTTTTGGAAAAATAAAAGACAAGATTTTTTATTATATATAATTTAAAGTTAACAGGCATATATTAAAGAAGAATAATTCTACATTAAATAATAAGTTTAAATAATAAACAAATACTTGTTGTTGCAGATATTATCCGCCGATCATGCTAACACTAACCTTTATTCTACCGACTGTGATACCTGTATATTTCTGGAATGAAAGCTGGATAGTAGGCATAGGTGCTACATTGGTTCGCTGGATATGGACGATAAACGTTACTTTTGCTGTCAACAGTTTTGCTCACTTATGGGGCACGCAACCTTACAACAAGTACATATTAATTATTAATGCTAGTGCTTAAGTATAAATAGGAAGTACAAAAGTTTAACAAGGAAACGAATGAGTTTATAAGAATCGTGCACAGAAATATGGAGCAATAAACTTGTCTTAAAATCTTTTTTTATTTGATATTTTTATTTTTGCAATTCAGAAATAATTGACTTTATCGTAGAAAAATGCAGTATTATGTTTTGCACAATTTTATATAATTTTTTATATTAGATATTCAAAAACTTAAATCTTTCTCAATTCTTTTAGAATTTTTCTGTCTTATAAAGATGTCTAATAAAGAAAACATTTCTTTTTAATAATTTCGAAATTTAAAATTTTGCTAAGATTCCGTTTATTTTATATTGTTTAAGAAAAATGAGTTTGTTATTATTAATTAGTAATTTCAAATCTTATTTTAAAGGCTTTGTTTTAAAGATATAATAACAGCTAGCAAGAATCTTAGTCACTAATCGTTAAGAAAATCGAAACAAACCTAATGTGTCTTTTGCAATCTAAAACCTCATAACAAAGTCAAATAAATAAATAAATAAGTAAAAATAATTTAAATAGCGTCAAGAACACGATCATAAATCCCACTAAAATTCTCCGTATCTTTCTGTAAATTAATGCCTTTACTTTGTTTTTTATATAAAACATTTCAGCAATTTCTTTTTTTCTTGTTTGTTTTTCTTGATGCAAGATAACCGGAGAATCCCAACGGAACTCATGATCGTTGCAAGTCCGATGCAAACTAACGACTGAATGCAATGTAGTGTCTTTTTTGATATAATTTCTATGTTCTTTGATGCGCGTTTCTAAATGTCTCTTTGTCTGTCCAATATAAGTAGAATCACAATTCGCACATTCAATTTTATACACGACATCGGTTCTTTTTAAGTTGTTTATCCTATCTTTCCTCTTTTTATCAGTGTGTCTAATTTTTTTGGAACGGTATATAGTACATCAACTCCATTTTTATTAATGCAACGCGTAAATGATTGCCAGTTTGGTCGATTTTTACCATTGAAGAAAGATTTTTATTAATTATTACTGGTGAACCTTAAGGATTATTATAATTTATAAGAATTTTTATTGGTACTTATTTTAGCTCGCAGAAGAAAAATTAACATAATAATAAGAAGTAATATTTATTATGATTTTACTAATAGTTAAGATTTTTTAAAATTCATATACTTTTCAAAATAAAGTATACACGTTAATCATCGAACACATAAATTTACTAAAGAGAATTTTATGCACAGGTATTATAATAGAGTCAGTAGAAGTAAAATGTATTATTTCGCTTAAATAATCTGTTGCATGAAATTCAGAGAAATTTGTTCAAGTTGACTTAAATCGACTTGTCAGATGAAACAGATTTCCTTCTTTCTGTACTTCTTGTTTCAGGCATATTATGGCAAAGCAGAATAAAGTTGTAGCTTTTTTTACTTTTGGTGAGGGTTGGCACAATTATCATCATTGCTTCCCTTGGGACTATAAAGGTTCGGAACATTTCAACCTGGCAGGCGCCTTCATAGATATCATGGCCTGGTTAGGATTAGCTTATGATCTAAAGACGACGAATTCCACATTGGTCGAGAAATTGTATAAAGAAAAAGGTGATGGATCTCACGAGAAGAGAGAGATCGAGAATTAGACAAATATTTCTCAAACATAGTTGCCTTCGAATAAAATTCATGTAAAAATATTTAACTTGATGTTTCACAATTTACGAAAATTAAAAAAAATATATTTTTTAAAATTAAATGTTTATAAAAATCAAATTTTTTTACCGGTCATCGCTAAACTCAATATCAAACATCCTTTATTTTGATGTTTTAAAACATTTTAGACACACTGGCATAGAAATCCGAAAAACAATTTTTTCACGAAAACAGAGCTTCCTCTCAAATTAAAAAAAAAAAAAAAATAAAAAAAACTACATACATCCTATTCCGAAAAATTTGCAAAATTTTGATACCAATTTCGAGAAAATCGGTCTATTAATGAAGTAGTTTGCGACCATAGACATATTAAATGTTTATGGGTCAGACAGACAGTACATATTTAAGTGGATACGCGTAAATATTTCGTAGAAAATTTAAAATACAAAAAGTTGTTTGGTCAGAAAGAAGGTATAATATGACGTTATTAGTTTTTGTGAAAGTATAAAGGATATTTCTAGGTCATCTAAAATTTTTTTAATGAGAAGCTGTATTTTTCTATTCATAATGTGATTGCGTGATATTCATAGCGTGATGTAATTAAAGATCATTCAAGGTTATAAATGAATGAAAAACGTCTACATTCTTTATATTTTTCAATGTTTGTATTTAGTTAAGAATGACAAAAACATTGTAGTACATTTTGTATTCAGTTCATTATCATTTTCCACTGGTGTTTTAAAAACTAATTTAAAATTGAAAGGATACTTGGATACATTTCCCACATAATGTTTTCCACTGGTGTTTTAAAAACTAAATTAAAATCGAAAGGAAACTTGGATACGTAAATCGTTTTTTTACTTTATATAAAAAAATTCTTGATCACATTTTATTTAAATTGCCTCATTGTGAATCGTACGAGGTAGATTATCGTTGCATCATTTTATATAACTTTTTGTTAGATACGATATATTAATACACGTGATTAATAGAACACATACATATATTGGCGTCATTAGAGATCAGACGTCATGATAAATGTTCATAAAAACTGAGGAAATATACGAAATCGAGTACAACGAAAGTTCCAGTGAAAGGTGCTGATAAATATAAATTAAGCGACAGCTCTGCGAATCATAATCCACAATTTACCTCTCTAACTAAGTTGCATCTTTCAAGTTTGAAATAAAATACATTGTTGGGGAGTTCCTGATATAAGAGGCTGTTCTGTCCTATATTTTAGTCTAATGAAGTGAACACGTAGTGAAGTGCACATCGGTTTTTATCTTTATCTAATACAATTTTTTTTTGCATCTCGAGACGTACATTTATATACATTAAATCGTTTATTGTAAGTTATATTGCTTCTTTTTTTTATAATTATATTAATATAAGTTATCAAACGAGGTAACAAGAGTCATAAGCAGAAAACAGAACAGTGCGGGATAATTTTTGGCGGCTATTTTATGCTAATTAAATTATTAAATTATGTATGGCGCATGATTTGCAAAACCAGACGCGATGAAATTATACAATGTTGATGGAATGTAATTTTTTATAAATATTTCGCGGCAATATTTTTTGAGCCAAATAAAAGAAGCACACCTTTAGGAGTGACAAAAAGGGATTTATTAAAAATAAAATTCGAATTGAGATTTTAAGGGTGACAGAAAGAGGTATTTATTCAAAATATAATTTCGAATTGAGATTTATTCAGTTATTTGGTATCAAGGAATCTTTGTACGTTGTGTACAACTAATCCGTTTTAATAAAACTAATTTTTCCTTGAAATTAATGCATTGTTAGTCGCATCTGACTCATTCTCGTTCATTGAAAAAAATATTTGTTTTACATTAAGAACCTTATTAAAGTCTTAGTTATAAGTAAAAAAAATGTGAGTATATATTGTTTTTAATTTTTGCACACATTAATTCGAATATGATATGTCATAATTAAGGATAGGCAATTTATGCTTTGAGCATAATAGCATAATGTGTCAAAAATTGTTTTTAAGCATTAATTTTAATAATTGTGCATAGTACACACTTAATATTAACACATTTCAATTGCATTAAAAAACTTATAACATTCTTCGCGCAGCAAAATGCGATTCTTACATAATTATTGCATAATAGCTACAAAAATTCGATTCGCGTACTTCAAATACTCGGATTTGAGAAAAACGACGTATATTTTTTAAAATCGTATATTTTTCCTGCTTTGCCATCGCATCCAATATTTTAATATTTTATCCAGCTTTTAATTGAAAATTTTTGTTTAATGTAATTCTAAAACGTTAGTCTAGACTTGACTGTGTTGAAGCATTCTGTGCTTTATCTAATAATTATATGTATTTTAATACCAAACCACTTATTTTATTTTTGTCTTGTATTGCACTTACTTTATTTTTGTCTTGTATTGCTCTTTCCTTCTCACAGATACGTAGTTTTATGGATTTTTATTTAAAGAGAGTGGTTAAAATGCATCAATTCCTATATTTCCCATTTTTCATACAATTTTATAAGTCGTTATGGACTGTTATATATTACGTGAAAGATTGAAATAATGCAATTGCGCATAAATAGCGGATTTAACACGCATAATTGGCGCATAATTGTTAGGGCCGGTTCTACAATATGTCGTATGTCGTATGTCGGATGTCGGAACGTAAGCGATTGTCTAATGAGGAAATTTCTTATTTGAAAACAAAATTTCCGCCTTAAACAATCGCTTAAAGCCATTCTACAATGGAGTATCGTAGGTGGTAGTCGTAGGAAATTGACCTATCACAATTGATTATTTTTGAAATAATATGTAAAAATTATGTAGAACCGGCCTAGAGTTCTCGCGCAAAATAAGAGCACTTTCAAACACTTTTTTCTAATATAATTCATAATTATTCAAAAACATAAAGTGCCTATTCCTAGTCATAATTCAGTTCTGATAAACATACTTTATAAGATCGGGATTATATACATGTATTTGTCTTCAGATATGTTCTATTGTTAATTAAATTTTGATACTGAAACTATGTACAAAAATTTAGTTCAAATAGAACAATGGAAAGAGCAATGTCAACAATCCTTTTCATTCCTTGGCTTCCAGCATTTTGATATACAGTCAAGAATTGTATCCCTCTGATATATAAACCACGTGTCCTCTTTATATAATTCTTTTCGAAGTGATGTTATAAAAAATAACTTTATACTCTTTTTAAAACTGATGAACATGTGTTTAATATTGTGCTCATGAAAGCTAATAACTTATATCTATAAATATGTAGAACATAGAAAACGGAAAATGTAAATAATTAGCATGTCTGATGAGATTTCCAATGTATTTTTGTATTCGCTTTACAATTAACTTGGTGAAGGAAATTCTTGTCACGTCATTAATGACTGCGCTTTCATCGTAGTATGTTATTATAGTACTTCACTTTTTATATCTATATGACGGTGCATTCAATGAAATGTAATATGTTACCAAAGGAACAGTGAACGGAATAATCGTAGCATACAAGTTTTTTTACTTTCACTATGTTCATCAAGTTCGCATCGATTAAAAATTGTCTAACAGCGTAATAAAATACTTTTATCATGAAACATAAAAATTAATCCATCGTACACATTATTTTCATCGAATTATTAATTATGTAAATAAAAATACGACTGCTAACAAGGCTTTAATATAAATTCTTTTGAATAAAAGGAAATAATAATTGTAAATTTATTTATTTTTATATTGTATCTTTAAATTTAATATTTTCAATTTGTACTTTATATTTATATTTATATTATATAAAAAAACTATATTTATTTAAAATTAAAAAATAGAATTGTTATTATATATTGCATTATTTTAACATCATGCATAATATAATAAGATCATTAATTTTAAGAAATTGATCATAGTAAAACATTTTGTAAGCGCTGCGATGCGGCAAAGAAAAACAGTAAATGTACACGCGATCTGGCAAACTCATTTCGCTTGTCTATCGTATGACTAAATAAAGTGTAGCATACTCATCTAAAGCAAATGTTAATTATTTTTATATATCACGCTGTTCCCCGCACATGTAACGAGCACCTTGGTTTGTTAATCACAAGTGAGATCGCATCATAAATGAAACACATACAAACTATACTCGTGTAATTTGATCAGTAATACAGTAATATGCAAAACATAGATCATAAACATTGATATTATTTTGATTGATAATTTCTATTGCTTCTTAACTCTTCAATGTGACAGTTTTTAATCTAATTTATAAAATCAAACATTTATGCCATAATAATTATTCTTGATATATTCCATCACTCCAATAAATTTTATACCAATTTTTTATAAATTTTTAAAATAAAAACGTAATTAATATTATTAAAATATTATAAATAATATAATTGAAGTATTTGTAATATAGTATATATATATGTATACATATAATTATGGAATATAAAAAATTTGTACCAACATAAAATAAATGTACAAATAAAGCTATAAAGTTTTATAGAGCTATTATAAAGCTAGAGATATCGTATATTAAAGTTTTTGTGAAAAAATTTCAAAATAAAAAATGTCACCAACATTGTTTAAATTAATAAATCAAAATTAAATAATAAATAAAAATTAAAACTGCTAATCTTTAAAAAAATAAAATAACTTATGCAGTTGAGAATGTAACAAATTAATTGCAAATTATGATTTATCATAGACGTCTTTTGAAATAATGTGAATAATTTCATTGTTAGAATTATTATTGTGTAATAAATCTGCGATAAAGAACGTCATAAAATAAAGAAACGTATCACTATTGCTGTGGGCGTTTTATTTCAGCAATTTATAATGATAACCGAATATTACGAAGAGGAATACAAGACGGATCGAAAGTTAACAGAACCGGAAAAAAAAGATAGCAAAAAATCGATTCTAGATCAACCACCGAAAGAGGACATACCGGTGGTACAACCAATAATTTGGCGAAATGTCATTGGTA